AAAGACGTAGACATGTAGCAGTGCCAATCGGTGGACTAACCTGTACCTTTCTGGTTAGTAAAATGAGCAGTTACATGAAGGCATGCACACTAACTGGCCCAACAGCCTGTTTAGTGGTTTTATATATTCAGAGCTGTTTGACCATTAGCAGCCTGTCTTACAGCTGTGTGAGCTTAGGGAAGGTTACCTGTACTGAAAAAAATGCGTGTGCTAAGCATCGGATTTTAATGCTTAATCTCATCTGGATTTGTGGACTAGATAAGACCCAATGATCATGTATGTCACTTGGAAATGGCCAGTTAGAGTTAAAACACAAACTTAGTCCTATGGATTCCCAAGGCCAGGTTTTTTTTTGTTTGTGGTGGTGGCTCACACCTTTAATCCCAGCACTCAGGAGGCAGGGGCAGTTGTAACTCTGAGTTCAAGGCCAGCCTGGTCTACAGAGTGAGTTCCAGGACAGCCAGGACTAGGACTTCACAGAGAAATCCTGTCTCAAAAAACAAAAAAAGTGACGGGCATTCAAATCCTGTCTAGTAGCAGTACATCTTTTGTTTAACAAACTTGGAAGTTATTATATATACCCATTTAAGTTTTTCACAATGCAGAAACAAAAAATGAAAAAAAGCATCAGATTTAGCCAGAAATGGTGGTAATCTGGTTTATTGTCCTTTTATACATGTTTAAGCAAACATCTTTTAAAATAGTAGTCTTGGGTTGAGTACAGGCACTGACTAAAGTGCTTACTCTGCTCTACTCCTTAGCAAATGTGTATGTACTGGAGTGAGATGTGCTTTCCCTCCCTCCCGCACTGGTGTGGATATTTTCCTTAGTTAAATCGTATTCCACTGCATCCTTACACTAAGTCCATCTAATTGACCCCACTGATTGGTTTGTAGGTTCTTTATGCATAACAGATATGGTTGACATCCACAAACATCCATTTTACTACCTATGTAGTTGTCCCCGTAACACAAATAACTAGAAATGGATTTATTTATTTATTGTCAGAAAATATTTGACATTTTTGAGGAAATACAACTTAAAAAGTAGGACTAATTTATAACTCCACGTAAGAGTAAGAATGCCTGTTTGCACGCCTGTCAGTGCTACATTCTGAAAATGGTTTGCTTATCTTATGGGCCAGTTCTTTTTTTCTTTTTTTTTTTTTCTTTATTAGTAAGAAAGTAAGAAGGTACATTTTTTTGTTGTTGTTGTTCATTGGCTGTTTTTATGTCCTGCTCTGGTCTTGTTATTTCATTTCTTTCTTTGTTTTAATTATGAAAGTATAAATGACTACAGTTAATATATAAAATTAAGATATAGATGTAAGACAGACCATTTTCCCCAGGTCAGTTCCACTTCCCAATTTATTGTATATCCTAGTACAGTTTGTACACATTTCCACAAGAATATAGAGGAATGTGGACACCTTTAAAATAAACAGGATTACGTATGAATTTTAAGACACCTTTGTCTATGTATTTTGGTCTTCAAATTCCTGTGGTGGAATGATTGGCTGTAAAACATTTGCTGTCTGACACTCTCCTCTGTCTTCCATCTTTACCTCTGCAGAACCTTACCTACCCTGGGTAGTTCTTACCTGTTTGGGAAAAGGAGAGAGTAAAAAGAAACCTTCCTTATTTGCATTTCCCTGATGAAGAGTGCAGTTGTTCTTTTTGTGTCTATTGGTCATTTATAATTGCCTGAGAATTGTTCATAGCTTCTGTTGCCTTTATGTTGGGTTATGTGTGGGTATCTGTGTTTGTTCAGCATCTCCTCCCTCACTTATGGTAACAGTATCCTTATTTATTGTGGTTAACGCATTCCATATGGCTTTGGTGAGCACATGACCAGGCCTGGCCTCCTGAGCCACACTAGCCACAGTGATTAGAGTGTGGGCATGCAGTTTGAAGCAGGCTAAGGCGAGTGCTCAACAGAACTGCAGCTACTGGGAAGAAGGCTTTGGAGATACTGGAGACCTAAGGACGATGTGAGCCTGAATTCTTACTGTTGGAGAAAGTATCTGAGGAGAAAGAAACTCAAGAGGCTAGCAGAGATGGTGAGAAAACTAAGTTCTGATGTCATTTTTCTGGAGGCCCTAGATCCCGTTGTGCCTAAAGCCTGCCCTACCTCTGGACTTTAAAGTTTTGTGAGCCAATAAAGTCCCTTTCTTGTTTATATCATTGTATTTGGCTTCTGTCCTGATTAATATAGGATATTTGTATTTTCTTATTGATCTGTAGAAAACCTTTGTAGTTTTACATTCTAGATTCATGCATTATATAAGTTAATAAAATTAACAGTGGCCTTTTATGATTTGGGCTGTGTCAACCTCTGCTATGTGTTACTTTATTCTCCCCTCCCCAATTCACACAGTGTTCCCATATTTGACATTCTAACAGTTACTTAGTGCTGGCTTTCATGTCTGAGCAACCTGTCATATTGCCTCCAACAGTTCTCTCTCTCCAGATTCATTTGGGTCCAGGTGTGTTATACTGCTGCTGACTTGTGTTTATTAGGGTTTCTATAGCTGTGGTAAGACACCATGACCAAAAGCAACTTGGAGAGGAAAGGTTTTATTTCTTACAACTCTTAGGTTATTTGAGTTCCTGCCCCGACTTCGGTCTCTGAGTTAAGTCAGAGCAGACACTCTGGACAGAAACTTGAAGGCAAGACCTGATGTAGAGGCCATGGAGCAATGCTGTGTTTTGGCTTATGCCTTATAGCTTCTTTAACCTGTTTCTTACAGCACCCGGGACCAGCAGCCCAGGAGTGGCACTACTCAGAGTAAAGATGCACCACATGCTTGCCCACAGGCCAGTATTGTCCCGCGCGATAGTCTTGCCGGCAAGAACCACACAGGACATTCGGATCCTTCTGCAGTAAAGCTTTAATGCGTCTTGAGAGGAGAGCATAAGCTTACCAGAGCGGAGACCCCGAGCCAAGAATCCCATCCCCTAATAAAGGCTTGCAACCGCCGCCTCGGACGTGTCACCCCATGATTGGCTGTAGCTTATCGGGCCATATGACGCCACGGAATAGGCAGAGATCAAGGAATGGAAAATTACCCAGCGCCTGCGCAATAATCTTGTTTACATTCGGTGCCTGCCGGATGCAGGCGCCATCTTGTAATGGAGAATGCAGGGACGGCTCCCTACACAGTATGGTGAGGGCACTTTTTCAGTTGAGATTCCCTCTTCCAAAATGACTCTAGCTTGTGTCACGTTGACAGCACACCGCTGTACCTAGCTAACATTGCTCTTGGGGCACTGCTTTCAAACTTCTACTGCATGTGGTCCTTGGAGCCCTTCACAATTACCTTTACCCAACATGGGTTTAGGGAGGGGTGTATTTTATTCTAGGTCCATGATCTTGAAGCTGTACAAGCCCAATATCTAATTTGGGGAAAAGAATCTTACTCAAGTCTGGAGCATTTCCTTGATTGATGCGGAAGGGTCCAGCTAAATGTGGGTAGTGTCATCCCTGATTAGGTGGTCCTGGATGATCTAAGGATGTGGGCTGAATAAGCAGTTAGCAAGCCAGTAAGCATCACTCCTCCATGGTCTCTGCAGCAGTACCAGGTTTCTGCCTGGTTTGAGTTCCTTCCTTGATAAACTGTGATGGAAGCGGAATAGACTGTTTACTCCCAAGTTGCCATGTGTGGCCTTGTTGGAGGAGGTGTGTCACTGTGGGGGTGGTCCTGAGGTCTATGCCAAGCTTTGCCCAGTGCAACAGTTCACTTTCTGTGGCTCAAGTTACAGAAATCTTGGTTCCTTCTCCAGCACCATGTGTGTCTGCTCGCTGCCATGTCTTGCCATGATAGTGCTCTAAACCTCTGAAACTGTAAGCCACCCCAATTGGTGTCTTCACAGCAATAGAAATCCTAAGAAATATATACCCTTTAATCCCAGCAGATCTCTTGAGTTTCAAGCCAGCTTGGTCTACATAGTGAGACCCTGTCTCAACAAAAGCTCCCAAACCATAAAGAAGCATTTAAGAATTAAACTGGGTGGTCTTTGTTTTCCATACTAGCTATCTTGTTGCTCGTCTGCCTAGAACCTCTCATAGTCTCAGTACGTGCAGAAGAAAAGACCTAATTCAGCCACAGCTAACTAGGTCTTCCTGTCACTCTTCCATTTATCTCTGCCCTCGCACAGGACTCCCTTGTGTTCATTCTGCTTCAGCCCCCTGGCCCTTTTGCCATTTCATAAGTAAATCAAGCATTGCTGTTCTCATGAGTATCTTTCCTCAAAAGTTCCTCAATAACACCTTCCCTGGCTAGCTTGTGTAAATTGATTTATTGTTCCCTGAAAAAAATACATGTGCATACACACAGCCATAAACATATATTTAGAAAGAAAAAACAACCCTGAGCATCCATATGTTATTTTTCCTTCACTTTAGATCAGCTGACTGCTTCTGTCTAGTTAACTTTACCACTGGACCTAGGTTTTCTCCTACATGCTCACCTCTCAAAATACCAAATATTCTCCTTGATATTATTATTGCTTGGGTCAAAGTAGAGGTAGGGGGATCAGGTCTAACATGCCTGAA